ATTTCCAGCGTTTTCCGCGGGACATTTTCGGTAAAAATATGTTCAGTTGTTTATTTTACACATCTCCAGTCTTGTCGGTAATAAGGTACAGTGTTTAAGGAAAAAAAGGCTAGTGACGCCATCAGAATTCTGGAATAACACTGAAGATAAAAGAAATACTAACACAAGAACACCATTATAGTACGAAAATATACCAGTCATCCCTCGTTTCTCGCGGATTCGCCGCTCCCCCCTCGCGCGTGGTCACACTCTGCCGTGTCCAAAAGAAAAACAGGAAGCTGCTTGCAGTCTTATCTTGATGACGCCTTTTCGGTGATAGCGATCTGGATAGAATTATATAATAAAGACGAGACGTTAAGAAATTGATTGTTTGAATATTGTCGAGTATAAAATCTTTCAAATGACTACTAACAAGCTGATTAAAAGAACGGAATGTTTGCACTAATCGTCACTTTTCAGGTGACCAGGAACGCGAGCTGGAAACATTGTCAAGAATGACAAATAGACCTACTGTCGATGACGATTTCTCTTCTTCTCTGACTTCTTTTTTTCCATCGTTCAAAATCGAATGAAGAAGAAGATTTAGAAAAGCGATCCAATCATATGAAAATACGGTGGGCGTAAATTGTAGACACGACACATCGAACTAAAAGGGGAACCAAAGGTCAAACATCTCAAGTGATTGACATGCAACTTTGCAGGCTGTCAATTACGTGGTATAGGATTGGCTGTAGGAAAAGAATGCTGAGTCTCAGGAGAGTTATTTCGGGGTTTGCCGCTTTGGATTTCACTGGTTTCGCGCGGATTCCAACGTTTACGATGGCCAGAAAAGTTGAAATTGTTTCTTTCGTCATCCGTTTTTTATGGGATCATTTAGCAGCTATGAGTTATTCATTATTCCGAGGCTAGATGGTGTTATTCATAATTCCCGATTTTCTAACTCTAAATATTCAGTATTAATTTTCTTTGAAACCCCTTATTCATTATTCATTATTCAGCTTCCACCCCCGAAAAAGTTATACTTGTAACATACGTGGTGATGCCAGAATTGAGGGGTATCACTACTGTATTCCACTTGAAACACTGTTTGCTCTGAACTACAACTCATTCATTTTAACTGTGGGAATTATTGGTGTTGATTCTCATGCTAGGTATGTATGGTAACAGTCATAGTGAAGGTACATGTGTATTGCTGGAAATACCATCCATGCATAAATTAGTACAATATTTTCAGAGTCTATATACATGTAGGAATGAAGATATATATGAGCTTAAAAGATGTACATATTGCCAACTTTGAAGTCGATCTTTGTTCAAGCAGTGTTAAATACTGTGG